GTTAAGCAATGATATGAGACAATTATCAACCCCAGGAGAAACAAACTGTTGTCGAAGACAGGAAATGTAATTATAGTATACCAAATGGCCCAGCTGTAAACACAGTCAAAATCAGGAACTCTGAATATTCATTTAACCAAAGACTGCAATAAAACTTCGATTCAACAAATGGTGCTGAAACAATTTAATATCCTCACGCATAATAAAATGAACCTCAATCCTTAACTCATACCATATATAAAAATTAACTATAAATGGAGCACTAACCTGAATGTAAGAGCTGAAAATATAAAACTTTTAGAGGAAAACATAGAAGAACATCTTTGTGACCTTGGATTAGATAGGACACAATAACTGGGAAACAATGTTTGCAAAATATATGTCTGATGATAGGCTTTTATCCAGAATATATAAAGAAAAAAACCTGCAAAATGTATATCTGGTAAGAGGCTTATATCTAGAATATATAACTCATACAACTTTTTATTGGGAAATCACCTAATAAAGAAATGGGCAAAAGATTTGAATAGATACTTCACTGAAGAAGATACAAAAATAGCAAATAAACACAGAAAAAGATGCTCAACATCATTAGTCATCAGGGAAATGCAAATTAAGACCACAATGAGATACCACTACATACCTACTAGAATGGCTAAAATTGAAAAGACCTTGAATACCAGGTCAAGAAGCAACTAGAACTCTCAAATATTACTGGTAAGAATGCAAAATGCTATAGCCATTTTGTAAAAAGTGGTTTGGCAGTTTCTGCTAAAGTTAAATGTGCACTTAACATATGATGAAACAATTTCATGCCTAGGTATTTAGCCAAGAGAAATTAAACCATATTCCACAAAATGACCTGTGTGTGAATGTTTATAGCAGCTTTATTCACAATTGGCAAAACTGAAAACAACCCAAATGTCCATCAACTGGGGTATGGATAAGCAAAATGTGGTCTATCCATATAATGGGGTAAAAAGGAATGAACTACTGATACATATAAGGATGAATCTCAAAAAAGCATTATACTGAGTGAAAGAAACCAGATACAAAAGACTTTATGATTCCATTTATATGACATTTTAGAAAAGGCAAAGCTATAGTGACACAAAACAGATAGTAGTTGCCCGGGGCTGGAACTCAAGCAGGGGATTGACTGCAAAGGGGCATGACAGAACTTTTCAGAGTGATAGCGATGGTCAGTATCTTGATTTTGGTGTGGTTTCGTAACTGTATACATTGGCCAAAACACGCAAAACTGTACACTTAAAATGAGTGAATTTTATTGTAAGGTGTACTTCAGTAAAGCTGATTTTTAAAATGTATTGGGAAAACTGGGGGTAAGAGGTGGATACATGTGTCCTAAATCCTAAGCTGTGATCAGAAAACAACAGACGTATAAAATTGAAAAACAGATGTGGTAAGCATGTGATCTAGTACTATAGATGCAAGTTTGAGAAGAAACAGCTAAAAGAGTTAAAAAGTGGAGTGTTGGGAAGAGGACTCAGGAGTGGGAAGGGGTGAGCTGATGGCTGTTGTTTGTAATAAGCTTTGTGGTACCATCTGGACTTTTAAACTACATACCTGTTCTTGCTTTGATAAATATCAAGATTATAGTTTTTTAGAGTGAGAAAGGTTTGGGAGGGCAGTGTGCCTAGTTTAGTAGAGGGGAAATGTTTGAAATATGCAGAAAGCCTTGGACCAAATAGAAACTAAAGTTCCTGCCCAGACAGTCGCTGTTTCTTGATGGCTCACAGTGCAGTGGGAAACTTCCAGGCCCAGGAATCTCCACCATGCCCATGGCCTCATCCCACAGCCTATGCAACACTAAGCCTCTCCTTTCCTTTTTGGTCTTTTGAACATTCAATTTAAAGGCCATTCTTTGTGACAGTTGTGGCTGCCAGACTGTCCCTAATCTAAAAACTACTTTGGATTTTGTCACATGAACTGGCATTCCATCAATTACATAAGTTTGAAATTCCACATGTTGTGGTCCGTGAAAATGTTAGGTTATTTTGACCATGGTGTCTTAACAGTAAGGACGAGCATTTTCAGGGGCCTGCCCTTGGCTTTGTGAGTTACACAGGCTTGGGCGTCACAATAACTGAGTCTATAGTAGATTTTAATATTTTTCAACTGAAGACCTAGTTCTTGTTCTCAGGGAACAGTTAGGCATTCTTGAAATGACCTGAATACAAAGCACCTGATGAAATTACTATGATGATTATGCTCTGAAGGAAAGAATTTCTCTTCTCTGCAAAGAAATAAACAAATGCTGGATGAGCTTTCATTTGGGAAACTGTAAAGGAGATTCATGTCTGTTCAGACATTTGCACAAGTGACCTTTAATCTGTATTCAAACCCTTGGATCAAATGGTTACAGGTCTATAGTTGATTGTTTATACTCAAGATCAGGGTGCAGGGTGGAGATACAAAATTCTGGAGATCTCCAAGTGGAGCCGAATTTCATCAGACACTACTTCCTAGAATTTTGAGCCAAAATTTTTAGCAAGCAGAGACACCTGTCTTACAGCATGGGGGAAAGGTATTTTAGGTGACAATAAATAAATTTAATGCAGCAATGAAAATAACAAACTACAGCTACACATCACAATATTGTGATTTTTATGGACACAACGTTGAGCAGAAAAGGCAAGGCAGGAGAGAATGTGCATTACGTGGCAGCTGGACTGTGGTTGTTGTGACACTATCGAGCTGTAGGCTATGACTTGTGCACTCTTCTGTACGTACATTATACTTCAATAATTTTTTTACAGTATACCATATAATTCTACTTGTTAGGTTCCCCCCAAAAAAGAAAACCAAACCATTCTTTAGTAATACATATCAAGGTAGTAAAAATATAAAGAGCCAGCCTAGCAATCACCTTCGGGATCCAGGAAAGGGCTGGTGATTAAGAGTGGGTGGTATCGGGGGCCGCAAGCAGGGGACCTTCTGGAGTGCTAGTAAGTTCTATATCTTGGCCTAAACAGTGCTTTTACAAGCATTTACTTTATAACTCTGCTAAACTGAATATATAAATTTTATATACTTAGACAAAAGAATTTAGTAGATTCAAACCAATCTAAATGTCTATCAATAGAGAACGACTTAAATTAATTATAATACAGTCATGGAATGTATCATACACCATTAAAAAGGGGGTAGCTGTGGTCCTTTATCCTTATAAGGATCTGATGTCCAAATTGTGCCCTACAATGACAAAAGCCATGCTGGAAATGAATCTGGTATGACACCACTTACATATATGCAGAAAGTATCTGTTATCTCTGGAAGAATAGACAGGAAACTAGTCAATCTTGCGTTAAGAAGGAGACCGGGAGCCAAATTTTATATGATACGCATTTGTTACCATTCAAATAAAAATGATCATTTATTTTGAAAGTATTTGTTTATTGCATGGTTCTTCCCCAATTTTATGTCTAGGCTCACCTGTATTGTCAATTACTTCAGCAGAAGAGAGGAACTGGCATTCAAACAGGGCTGCCCAACTACAGCCTTGTTAATTGCACAAGAAGTTTTCTAAGCAAACATTTCTCAAGCACATATTTTGAAGCTGCCACTGTTAGGCCATATACGTTAGAATAAAGATAAACGAGACAAAATCTAAGCCCTCATGGAAGGGGAAGACAGTGAGGAAGAGGAAGAAAGAAAAGAGAGGAGACCATTTGTCACCACTGGAATTTCTCTTCATGTGGCCATTTAATTTTGCTGCCTTTGTCTTTATGAAATGAGGTTAGGTCATATTCTTTGTCTCAACAAGTCTTAGAAATCAACTAGAGAACACCTATTTTGTAAGCTCTTCCCCGTGTTTAAGACCAGACAAAGGATTCAATACACCAGTGGTAGAATCTTTGTCTTTCTGTGCCTCCACAGCTCTTCTACCCTCTCTCTCCTTTCCTTCATTCTCAGTTTCCAAGAAAGTGTAGAGGAGATCATAGGTGGATGGGCTTTTCACATCTTTGCTCTGTTCAATATGCATCAAGGAAAATGAAAACCCCATAGATAATGCAACTGAGCTGCTGAGAGCCCCAAACGATGTGGGGGGGGGGAAACATAGGACATTTCCCACCACAGGTTGAACCAGTTTCCATTCCTCGCTAAGGATGGGAGGACCAGAATGGAGGAGAAAGGGCTGAAAAGATTACTGGTGTAAAGAAAGAAGTCTTGCCTTCTGCTTACGATTGATTCCGATTTATCTGTGGTTATGTTTTGAAAACTGTTTCCTAAGGAAATTCTTTCAGCCATTTCCCAAAACAGTTTTTTTGAGTGGTTGTAAAAGATTTCAGTCATCTTTTTTATTCCAGTTTTATTGAGATATAATTTTATTGACATATAACATTGTATAAATTTAAGGTATACAACATAATGACCCAATATATGTATATACTACAAAATTTTTACAATGTTTTGTTAATATCCATCACCTCACAAAGTTACAGATTTTTTTTCCTTGTGATAAGAACTGTTAAGATCTACTCTTTTAGCAACTTTGAAATATACAATATGATATTGTTAACTATAGTCACCATGCTGTACATTATATCTCCTGAACTTATTTATCTTAAAACTGGAAGTTTGTACCTTTTGATCACCTTCACACGGTTCTCCCACTCTTTATCCTCTGCCTCTGGCAACCACAAATCTGATCTTTGTTTCTATGAATTCGGGTTTTTTTTATTTTCCACATATAAGTGAGATCATACAGTAGTTGTCTTTCTCTGTCTGACTTATTTCACTTAGCATAATGCCCTCAAGGTCTATCCATGTTGTCGTAAATGGCAGCATTTCATTTTTTATGCCTGTGTAGTATTCCATTGTGTGAAAATATCACATTTTCTTTATCCATTCATCCACTGATGGACACTTAGGTTGTTTCCATGTCTTACCTATTGCAAACAATGCTGCAATGAACATGGGGGTGCAGATACCTCTTCAGGATAGTGATTTCATTTCCTTCAAATATATACCCAGAAGTGGGATTGCTGGATTATATAGTAGTTTTACATTTAATTTTTTGAGGAACCTCCATACTGCTTTTTACAATGGCTGCACCAAATTATATTCCCACTCACAGTGCTCAAGGGTTCAGGTTTGGATCATCTTAGAGGGCAGAGGTTTAGAAGCATTTCCGTGTTGCAGTGATCCAAACTCATGCACCTCACTTCTTCATCAAAATCCCATTTGCTACTCTTGCCTGGCAGCGAATATTGATGGTGAGGATGGGAGGTGTAGGTGAGGAGAAAGGGGTCTTCCTGAGGTGAGTGGCATGTGGCGGGAGGATAGTAGCTGTTAAAATCCACATGCACCTTCTCTTCATAGAGGTCACCCCCTGGATTTGGCCATAATGGGTGACAGCTAGTTTTGGCTGCAGGAGGTTCCACTGGAATCTGCTGGAAAAAGGGTTCTGAAGAGTTCTGGGAAGGAGAGAGGTCGTAAGGCCAGCTGGTCAGAGGAAAAGGGTAATTGGGACAACAGTTGTCGTTAAGAGGATTTCTCCCCAAAGCAGTGTTTTTATTCCATGGTTGCAGATCACTGTAGTCAGAGAAGACTCCGGAGACAGGCTGAAGTAGGTCCCCATTGTTGCAGATCCGACTGTTGGACAATTTGCACTTCTCATAGAGCTTGGGGCCCAAGGTGGAAGTGGGGTCTGCCAGATTAGTGGTTCCCCCCAAACCATAACCCTTGGAGAAGGATAAGCAATCATTCAGGGACTTCTGCTGGGGCGCGTTACCTATTAAATGTCCACTGTAACTACCAGGCAATTGGACGCCTTCCTGGAAAGACCAAGTTAAAGGCAAACTTCCCCAAGTTTGCGCTTCCCCTGGAAGAGACTGGAAAGGAAAGCGAAAAGCCCGTGTTAATAAGTTAAGCAAATCGACACAACCACCACAGGTACCCTCGAGTTACTCTGTACCAGTAAGCGCTCTGTCAGATTTTCCTCATTCCTTCCATTCTTGACGCACAAACACACGGTGCAGTTTTACCACAACCATTCGAGACCTGAAGGGGGCAAAGGCTGCGTCCATGTCCATTGTAAAGCCTACTACCCTCGAAGAGCTGAATCTCCCCCCACTCTGAGGAGACACGAGTGTGTTTGAAATGTTCCACCCTCACACTCAAATCTGATAGCCTAACTGCCTTTGTGAGAAACTTGTGAGGGGTTATTTAAGAAAGATCAAACTATAGGTTCAAAGATTTATATTATACTCAGTACAACTCTCAGAGGATCTCTTTCTTTCAATCTCTCTCTCTCTCTCTCTCATACACACACACACACACACAAGCTTATCATTTCCCTCCTTGACTTTTCTATTTTATAGTGCTGTTTGGGGTCTGAGACTTTTCTCTCAAGAGACTTTTCTCTGAACTCATGGGATTTTTGTTGAATCATAGATAGGACCTCTAGTATATGAAGTGGTACATTTATTTTTATAAATGGAGGAAGTATATCATCCTCCAGCGAGTCACAGGAAAAGAATCTGGTTAAGAATTAAGTTGTTTATGTAAGACTATCGACTAATAAGAGGATGTGGGAGGAGAGACTGTGACCAGATAGAGTGAGGAGGGAAATGCCCTCAACTTGTCCCACGGCTGGGAGAAGGGCTGAGGGACTGGCTGTCTGGTTTCTGGGGCTCACATTTCCCTACAACAGACTCAAATTACAATCGTCTATGTAAGCTACATGTACAGCCTCCAGGGATAGACCAGCTCCATCTCTGTCCTCCTGAAAATAAACGCGGAGCACGGAGCAGCAGTAAAGAATACAAGTCGCCATCACTATTAAGCAGACAAACCCGCAAACCTACGGTATGACGCCCATAGGGCCATGACTTCACATTGCAGTTTGGCTCCAGGGAGGAGCCTCCATCCCCCCGCCCCCTAGATGACCATTGTTCTCAGAAACTTCCTGGTTATTTCACCTTGGTAGAGTGTGCTGAGGAAACAATCTGTTTAGGGGAAGAATAGAAATTTGGGGGAGAAAAAGCACCAGGCTAATATTTTGTGGAGATCCTTTCAGTTAATTTTGATTCCAACAGAACCAAAATACAGAATGCCAAAGACAGGTTAAGTACTAATTCAAGTCTCTCTTTTTAATTGTAGTAGGGAGGATGATTTTAAAATTATATGGCATTTATGGTGGAGAGCATGCTACAAAGATGGTAGAAATTAAGAGGAAAACCTCAGATTCAGTTTCTCGGGTGGCTGCTTGCTGGTAGATGAGCCTGCCTGATTTCTGGCTTTCATCTGGAGGCAAGGGACCAGGAAATCTGCTGCCCGCACCGTCGAGATGGCAAGTTGCCGTGGGTTTTGAACAGACGGGGGAAGGTTACCTTTGTCTCTGGGCCTCCCTTCAGCTTTAGGGAGACGGAGGAAGACGCTGTCTGCGCCTTCTTCATCGCTCTTCTTGCCTCCGCTTCCAACTTGGTTTCTGGTTTTGGATGATCATGCTCTCCCTTTGACTTAAAGGAGATGAGGAGGGAAATAAATAACTCAATTGTACTTCACGGTGTGTCAAGTTTCACCCTGTGCCCTGGCATCTGACTGAGTGTGGCTGCCATTGACTACCGGAACCAGACTGGATAAGCCTCTGCAATACCCCTGAAGCCCAGCATGCACTTTCCAGCCCACCTGCCTTTGCTCACCAGGCTCCTCCCCATGGCGCCCCTCACCCGCCTGGCACAGACACATTCATAGTGATAACAAGTACCACTTATTACACACGGTCTCATGTAATATTCAGCACAAGCCTGGGACGTCCAGACCATCATTATCACCCCCAGTTTACAGAATAGGAGACTGAGGCATGGAGAGATTCCACCACCCGGTAACCTCCCCTAGTAAGTGGGGAGCTAGGATTCAGAGTGCGCTGGAGTCGGCCAAGCTGAGAGCCGATGGCTAGACATTCAGGAATTCCGTGAGCTGGTTGTTAAAATGGCTGGGAGCTTGAAACCAGCCGTGGTGGGAATGTTACATCACAGAAATTGGCAAACCTACCAATCAGGACACTTTCTTTTCGGAGGGCAGGTTGACCAGCACTCTGCTGATTCAAACCCAGGCAGTCTGCTATCAGAGGCCACTCTTCACCACTGTTTATAGCACTGTCCCTATAGTACTTCTTAATACCCACATTTTTCAGAGAACTGGGGCTTAGGGGTGTAAAGGAAGGTGTGTGGTTTACAGAGCTGGTTGGAAGTCAGAGCTGGTACTCAGTCTGGGCTTTGCTGAAGGCGGTGAAGCCTGCCGCCTGCCACAGCCCTGTGCTCGCCCGAGCTGATCAGATTACTAAGCGCTGCCTCTCCTAAAGGGCCAGGAGCAGAGGCAGCCCCTCCCCTCCGAGGGCCCCAGCTCCCGGCGCCTCTGTTGAGGGGTAGGGTACACATACTTGCTCACCCGCCCGGAGTGTGTCTCAGGGTTGATGCAGGCTCTCATTCACCTGCATCTCCTACGTGAAAACCTTCCTCGTACTCTGTAAACATTTCTTGAATTAAAGAGAAATGGTATCATATAATCTAATTCAAATCCAACCTGGAAAAATATGAAGCGTCCATCGTGCCTCCAGAAGTTGGTGACCGGGAAGCCCCCATGGCCTCGGCAAGGAATCAGCTTGAGAGGCCCGTCGCAGTTGGGACAGCGTTTCCCTACAAAAGAGCAAAGGCAGGTGACCACGCCCAGCTGAGCCCCGCAGCTGACTCCTGAGCCCGTGCAGCCCTGACAGTTTCAGCCTGGACTCCAGGTGGCAGAGAGGACACCTGGGCACAGTTTTCTGGGCTTCCATCCACTGGGCATCATTCCTGACCCTAGGGGGCTTGGCCACCATAATGGCCCAGATGGGTCTCACACGTGGATACGGAGCAGGATAGTTCACAGGTCAGGGGAGAGCTCTCCTGAGCAGAAAATCCATCCTACTTCTTTACTGATACTTGAAATTCTTTGTAGAGAAGAGGAAAAAATCTTTCATTTCATGATTAGAACTAAGGGTCAAGGGGCAAAGACGCATGGGAGAGAGAACACAGCTTCTAAATTTTCACAAAGTATAAGAAACCGATACCAGATCCTGCCCTGAGAGCAAGTCTTGAAGACAAATTACAAGGAAAGAACATGAAGTAACTTGAGGTCTAAAATGGGCAAGGCTCAGGGAATGCTGAATGCATCTATTTCACAATCCGATGAATCTGATAAAAAACCAAAATGAGCAAATATTCCAGCATGTGATTATGGCATGGAATTGAGTCTAATCTCAAACGGAGTCCCACTGCTCCCACCCCAGATCACAGTTCTCACTGAGATCCTTCAGAGACCCATTCCCCAAGACGTCAGGTGGCAATCTAATAAACAACTTTCTCTTAAACTTTATGGGGGTGCACTGGTGAATTAATGTGAGGCCCCTAAGTGATGCAGCTTCCTTTGAACAGAGGCCTTGACTCAGGTGCCTTAACCCAAGGGAACAGTTCTAATGGTGGGTGCTCTGGGCATGGCAGATCTGTGGTGCAGATACCCATGGGGGACATCTGGGCAGTCCCCCATGGGGGACGAGGGGGCTGGTTGCCGCTCCTTAATGTGTTCTACAGAGGAACAGCCTTGGTCTCCACCACACTCCAATGTGAAGGCTGAGCCCTTGGGATGTGCTGGAAGGCAGTGGCCCATCTGGGCAGAAGCATCTGAACGGATGTCAGTTTCCTCTCCAGTACCAGCGAGCCCCACTCACTCTGCTGCTTCTGCCGGGCTTTGTCACAGATGGCAGGTCTCAGGTAGATCTTGCGCCCCTCTTCGGCAGAGCAGTTGCGGCTGCACACCACCACGCCCAGGCAGGACTTCTTGAGGATGCGCGAGTTGTGGTTGTTGGTGTTGCGCATCGCCCAGCTGCTCAGGTGCCGCTGCGCGTTCCTGTCCTCTGAGCTGTAGATGTGCTTCTCATAGGAATCTGGCCATTCCTGGAACCAGTCGGTCTTTTTCACATTCTGATAGAAACACAAAGAATATTATTATATTTTCAGCTAGAAAGCACAACTGTCCATCACTGTGGAGTCAACAGACGTGAAGGTTGTTTTGGCCCTTGAGAGCTGGCTGAGAGACTTTCGGCAAAGACCAATCTGGACTTAATTCTGACGGTGGGATTTGGGAGCGCAGCACAGCAGTGCTGACATGACTGCTGTGTCTACCGAACATGCGCTCTCTGGACCGAAATGAGCTGTCATTCAGCCCCTCTGAGTTCTACCCAGCTGACGTTTCTCTAGCCCTTGACAATAAGAGTTATGACCATTTCTGACTAAGAATTTTTGAAGGTGAAGTAATATTATTGTGCTCTTACACAATTACTGTGGAAAACATTGTGGTGGGGTAGTGAGATAATGTCTCATACCACACGGTAGTTACCTTATTGGGAATTCTAAGGGTTTATGTAAAGTCACCAGAGATAAGCACTGGGAAGAGTGGAGAGCTCTGTGCAGGAGGGTTCTGAGAGCCATTTCCTCCTCTGCAATTTTCTTCCTTTTTCTCTACTCCCATATTCATGTGCCTCAAACAAGGCAGAGGAGAAAGGAAGAGTTCACTTTCACTGGAAACTTCTATGTTCTTGCCCAGGACCGGTACTATTCCCTGTGCGTGAACATCTAACTAAGCTCTCCTTTAAAAGGTCAGAGACACAGGACACTCAGTCCTGATAGCATAAGTTATTTGGCTCTCTGGGCTTCTGTTTCTTCATCTGTACAATAAGGATAATGAGACTTGCCTACCTCTGGAGTGGTTCTGGGAATTAAATATGATAATATATAAAAAATACTCAGCACAGCACCTAGCATGGAGTGAGCTCTAAATAAATATTAGTTACTGATGTTGTCACCCACAATCCTTAGGCCCTGCTTTGGTGCACAGATGCTCCATGTAACAGATCTCACCTAGTTCTTAGAGTAAGAATCATTATGCAGTCTCAGTAGTCAAAGTCAGGCTGTACCCATCCCCACAGCTTCCAGAGATCTGGCCAGATCTAAGAACATTTTTCATCAAGAAGATTCTAGAAGGTCAGAAAAGAAGATTTCAGAAGGTCCAGAAGGAGAGACCAGGGTGCCTCTCCTTTGCTTCCCCAACAAGAAAACACAGCGTAGAACATGAGAAAGGAAAGACAAGACATTTTAGAAGGAAAAAAGCAACATCAACAACCGGATGGAAAGGCAGCATGGGGAAGTTGGTGTTTCTTGAGTTACATTTCAAGTTTAGAAAGTGCCAAAAAACTTTGTAACATAAGACTCTGGGCAAGTGACTTTGTCTCTGAAGCCTCATTTTGCTCTTCTTTAACATGGGGACATGGATAAAACACACTTCAAAAAAGTACTGTAAAGGGCAGAAGCGTTGTAAACTGTAAGCTTTATATAATGCCAGTTGTCATTTGAATGGAATGCCATGGGAACCGAGGTGGCTCTGAGGAAATATAAATGAGAGGTTTTATGTACATGAGAGGTGGTACTAGTTAATAGCTAAGAGCTGGGGCCTGCAAACTAGAGCCCATGGACTAAATCCAGCCCACTCCCTGTTTTCATACATAAAGTTTTATTGGGACAAAGCCGTGTTCATTCATTCAAGTGTTGTCTATGGTACACTGCCACAGCAGAGGCGAGGAGTTGCAGCAGAGTCTGGTCTGTATGACCCAGGAAGCCTAAAATATTTACTGTCTTGCTCTTACAGAAAGCTTGCCAACTCAAGGCCTCCACTTCCAGCTCCGTAAAACAGAGGTAACGGGAGTACCTACCTCACAGGGATGTCACGAAGACTGAACGAGTTAACACACACAAGCATTTAAAACAGCGTCGGGCACAGAGCAAGTTCCATATCAGCGTTCACTGTCACTCTACCGGATCCGGGGCCACATGCAACCAGACAACATGGTTGTAAGAGCCACTGGCTTTCCGGAGAGAGAAGACCCACAGAGAGGTCGCTTCATGCTTTAAATCTTGCCAAGCCCAATGCAAGGCAAGAATCCAAGCCCCTATAAAACAAAAGCTTAATTGGTGGAACTCTTGTTCCAGGACCTTCTTTCTCAGAGCAGCGACAATGGCTGGCCCTTCGGGCTGTGCACTGAACTGCTGTGGTGCGGGAAGGGGAAGCTGCTGGAGAAGAGAAGGGAGGAAGGAGTGTGGCCTCTGGGGGAGAAGTCCCCTCTGGTTCATCAGGCAGCTACAGCAGAGTGTCCGGGAAAGAGTCAAGGCCAGGCCAAGACGCTGAATGCATGGTCTGCTTTTTCCAGGTCCTTGCCTCTCTCCTTCAGTTCCCTGGTAATTCTGAGCTGGAGAAGATTCAGTGTCCCAGGATGAGAAAAACAGCTCTGGCAGCCCCATCTCCTGCTTTCTCTGCCCACCTTCTCTTCTCTTCCTTCTGACCTACATCTCCAGACAATACTCTCTTGTTTTCTGTCACAGAAATGCCATAGAAAGCATAATATTTTATCTTCTGTAATAATAAAAATGCAGGTTAAAATGTTAAAATGTGCAGCTTCTTCTAACAATTGGACTGTAAAAATCTACTGGTGGATTTGAATTATTCAAATATGAAGCACAGTTGTCAGGGTAGCAGAGACAAGGGCGAGGTGGACTTGGAGAAAAGCTGAGATTTTCTTGTGTTAAAGGTGAGGAGCCCCTTCAGGCTGGTCGAGCTGTAAATCCCCCAAACCAAGAGGAGGGGAAGGTATTTGTGAGACGGCCTCAGATGTTCCAGTTAAAGCAAAGACTCTGCCTACCCAGGAAGAAAAGATCTCCACTGTCTTTTTTTTTATTTTCTCTAAGTTTAATAAATATTTTGACCTCCCTTTGAGGCTTCCTCTTTGACCCATGGATTATTGAAGAATACATTGTTTAGTTTCCATATATTTACAGATTCTCTTGTTGTCTTTTGTTATTAATTTCTAGTTTGATTCCATTGTAATTGGAGAACACTCTGTGTGTTTTCAATTATTTTAACATTGTTGAGGTTTGTGTCAGGGCCCACAATATGTTCTCCATTCCACCATCTTTTAAGACTTATTTTTTCAACAGTCCCTCCCTGGCACCCTAGTTTTCCAGTTCTATTAATAGCAGTAATAATTTTGACAACATATGGACTTGAGAAAATTACTAAGAGAAATATGTTGACATCAAGATATTCCCTTGGCTGTTTATTTACACCCAGTTTTTGGGATCTTTGACATCTTTTGACATTGAAATTAAGAGAAAACCCAGATTCCAATAATGCAAAGGAACCTGGGTGTCAAATGAATGATAGTGATCTCTGAAAGCCTTGTAAATTTAAGGCCCCAGAGAGGTAAAAGTTAAAGAGAAAGAATAATCATTTCTTAATCTTGTTTAGCAAATCTCCATAAAATATTTTCTTCTTTTCAGGTCTTTTGTTTATTTTAATTTCTAACTTTTCATGAGTAACTCTTTGTTTTTCCTCTTGGTTAAGAAGTTTATAATTTAAAGGGAATATTCTCAAGGTTTCCAACATGTAAATCTAACTAATTTATATTTTATAATCTCATGGGTAACATCATTGGGGGGTTAATTAATATTTCTATGACTTCTGTATATTTTTTTACTAAGAGACTTAATCCTCTAACTCACTCAAAAATCTTTGAAACTCTTTGCAATCACAGAGCACCCTTTATCCTCTCCTCATTTTAATTTACTTAACTACTTGAAGTTTTAATAGGGTACCTTAAGAATTGACTATATACTACTATACAAAACTAATAAATTAAAATAAAAATTCTGAAATAAGTTATCAAAAATATCCACATTATCATGTTATCATATTAAAAGTGATATTCACTTGGGATACAGTCCATTCTCATATAAAGCAATTATCTGCCAGGTTTTCTTTAATGGTAAGAATAGATTATTAATTCCTTATAAATAAATATTGCCAAATAAAGCAGGGACAGCAAACAGATACACCTTTAAGCAAATCACATAGAGGGAAAAAATTAGATGTTACTTACGGAACACAGAAAAAAATTCAACCAGCATTTTGATCTACATACAACTTTTCAGGAACTTATCTATTCTGAGCCAGCTGGAAATCAAACTCCAGTGTTATCAAAGGGAGAAGTTCAATTCAACAAATTTCTTTTGAGGTAACTCAAGAATTGCTCCTTAGGCTAATCCTGCAGTTTCCTACGTTTGTTTTTTGTGTGTGGGGGGGGATCTTTTTGTTTTTGGGGTGTTTTTGGTTGAGGAAGATTCACCCTGAGCTACCATCCATTGCCAATCTTCCTCTTTTTCCTTGATATGCTAACATCTGTGCCTATCTTCCTCTATTTTGTATGTGGGTTGCTCCCACAGCATGAGTGGTGTAGGTCCGTGCCCAGGATCCGAACCCACGAACCCTGGGCCACCAAAGCAGAGCACGTGAACTTAATCACTACACCACCAGGCCGGCCCCCTACTTTTGTTAAAGAGTCAAGATTCAAGACAAAAAGTTCTTTATTTGCTCAGACAACACTAACGTGGGCCAGAGCACCCCAGCTTTCAAACTCTCTCCATTACCTACTTCTCTTTTATCTTCTCCCTTCCCTCTCCCACTCTACCAAGCAAGGGATCTGCTGGCGGGCACCCAGAGGAGTCTGTGCTACCACAGATGCAGTAATATTCACATCGCCATCACACCAGAAGGACAAGGTAGCAGAATTCTGGCCCCAACAGTGGGGGACCCAATGATCAGGGGGGCCCACATAGGTGGAGCTGTCCCAGGAAGTTCAAAAGACCTTGAGATCAAGGAGAACGCTGGACGAAGAGGACAAGTCATGAGTGTCCCGGTCAGACCAACAACAACATGACTTGATCAGGCAGTTGGATAATAATTGACAAGGAATCCAGAATCTGGTTTACCTGTTAGCTCCTTAGCACTAAGACACATCTGATTACTACAACTGGCTCCTTCTGACTACAGTTAGCCACATGAATTCACAGTAAGAGCTCAAAGATTCACCTTTGCTCATAAGTTTGAGGCAAAGGAAATTTTGTTGCCTAAACCATGGTCCAGGAATTAACTAATCGAAGCTGTGGCCTCTTTGTGGTTGACTCACCAGGTTTTGGGTTGGTCTGTATTTATGTTTAGCCTATATATATTTTTATGTTTTCTCAGAAAAATGTACTTAAACCTTGGAATTTTGTGAGTTAAAGACTCAGGGTGACTTTGGCCATGGGTTTAATCTGAAAACTGCTCAAGCTTACGAACAAAACGATTCAGGGTGTTTGTCTGTTGTGGTGCTACTGGAACACCCTGTGCTTCTGCTTACAGAAACTGGCTGGTGTTAGGAACAGAGTGGGTGCTCTCACCTCCCTGCTGAAGGGGCTAAAATTTCGGAGAAAAAGGAACTGATTATCTTCCCAATTTTCCACTGGAAAAAAACAAGAAGTTTCTTAGGGATTCAGGCTTTCAAGTATTACAATCAGTATTAATGAGAGTGTGACACTTTTTGGGACCAAGTAATGAACATTTTTAATGAAAGTAAATCTCAACCAACACCAGACATTTGCTGCTTGGATCAAGCAATCCCTAAAGCAACTATATTTGAACTTTAAAAATGCAAATGTAGTTAAAGGGGAATAGGAAGGGAAAGGAACAGTGGTGTGTTACACTGGCCTGGAATAGAGACATTTATCAATGATGGCTTTGAGTAAATTAGGTGCCCGCAGTTCTGGCTGGCTCGCTGGGGGCTGGATTAAAGAGATAGGCTATCAAAATGACCACAAGTTAAAGGAGTGACCAGAAACAAGTGAAATGAAGATTTATAACAACATCTATGCAGCTGAAAGAAGGAGGAAACAAACATGAAACAAATACACGGGAGGGACGATTTAGCGAGGGCAAGTAGACTCTACGCCCTGGATCTGATCACGACACTTTCCAGCCCAATAAGCCCAATGGCTTCCCACTGCCTATAACATAATCGAATCCTCTTAGGTAGCCTGCTTCCAAACCACCTTTCCAGCCAGTAGCCTTCCAAATCTCCTTGCTGAACACCTGTGCACAAGCTCCCTCAAATGTTGACTTTGAATAGCCTTCAGGTTTTGGTGCCCTGCTCTGCCCTCATTGCCTGTCTGCTTCCTTCACCTGCCCTAATCCTCTCACGTTTTACAATGCACCTCTCCAGAGAAAGCCCTTTGCCAGATGCTCTGCTTTGCTCCCCGTGCCTGAGTCATGCTGAATAACATACTCCCTCTGTCAAGTACCTCCCAGATTTTTCTGTATGGCCACTGATTCTCTATCTGGGCACTGATCTTGTTCTGTTAGCCCGGAAGATCATGAGTCCTTCCATGAACGTAACAGCTTAATGGCTCCTGAATCCTGGAGCCTGGCACATTCCAGTCACTCAAAATGCTTGATGTCCTAATGGGGACATCACCATTCACTGTTGCCAAAATTAACCCATAGATCTTGATGTATCTGAGCTGTATAAAGGGATATGGAGCTTCCAGGACCAGAATGCAATTAGCATTCAGGTGCCCATCTTGAAACTTGAAGCATGTGAGTGGATTAACAGGAAAGGAATTTGTCTACAAGTTGAAGGATTTGCCCATGTGTTGCAGTAGTAACCCTGGCAAGAATATAAAATTATGAAAGATAAACTGTAACTTCTTTGTCGGAATGGAACAGAGAATGAAATTGGGAAGTTTATAATAACAACAAGCCACTGCATTTGATCCTTTAAACCACATTTTTTAAGCCCAAACAGGTGGTCTGAGGAACATTAATCGTCTGAGTGGCTCCATGAAAAGAAGGCTCCATGGACAAAAATAAGTCAGAGCAACATTGCCTAACATGGCCTCCTCTTGGGACAGCCACCAATGCACAGATGGTGAGAAAGTCTCCAAGTCTGCAGTAAAGAAATCTGTTTCACTTTGTTGAACAAAGTATTTTTTTCCTTTCTTTGCAACACCCGTTAAAATTCCATGTAACTTATATTCCACAGACCACATTTTGGGAAACACTGCTCTCAACAGCTTAGAGTTGTACGTGGAGCATATAAGAAATTACTATTTTCATTTCACAGAGGAGGTGACTAAGACTTAAAAAAAACGATTGTTTACAGTCACACAGACTATAAGCAATGGGGCAATTCATTAATGAATTTCATATTTGTTGTTTGTTGTTTAATACAGGCCAGGCACTGTGGTAGGCACCGGGCAGACAGTTCTAGAATGTAGGCCACCTTCCAAATCTCAGGTCACAGACTCTTAGACTATTAGAACTAAAAGGGTACCCAAGAGAGTATTTAGTGCAACCACCTCATTTTCAGAAGAGGAAAGAGAGTCAGAAAGGGGAATCGACTCCCCGAGTCTCTACAATAAAAAGAGGCAGAAGTGGAAATTCAAAGCCAGGGCTTGGTCTCCAAGCCCCGTGTTCCTCCTGGTCCACCCACCACTCTGCCTTGAGGCGTGCTCACAAAATATAAAATCCATTATGTTTGGAAATCTTTCCAAGATCTTTTATTTTTCACCTCAGCTGGGTCTTGATATAATTCCAGAGCCACTATGAACCCAGATGAGGATGGTGTTGTCTCTGCTCAGAAAATATTAAGGGATATTTGCACTTTTAATCATTACCCTAGCATAATTAACAAATTGAAGGGCACTTGGCTATTTCTATGGGCAATCAAACCTTTTCTGTGAACTATAAGCGATATATTTCCAAAACTGAATGTGTATTTTTGTCATAAATTTCTCAGTTTAGCATCTTGGGTAGCCGAGAATGCTTCTATTTCTGGAAATTCCTGTTGGAACATGAACTTTTATGAGCCCTGAGTTTCCCTCCAGGAAAGTGGTTCTCCCTTTCTTTAACTACAGATCTGATAATTGATATGGATCTTCTGTCCCAGAAAAAATGCATGTTAGTACACAGTGTCGCCCGCCATTTCAGGGGTTCTCAGAATCTGTCAAAAACACCTGCTCTGGGGTGCGACATTGCAAAATCTTCTCTGTGCCTGCTTACTTCAGCTCTTGATTTTGAGGCTGCCCAGCTTCTATCTGGGAACTGCAATCACGAAATTAGGAATAGGGGGAAATATGGGTCCCTGAGCCAGGAGTAATTAAAATTTACCTTCAAGTTTTCCCTAAACCAGCTATAATAATCGTAATACCAATTACGAGCAACTACAAACACAAATCCCTGACATGAATATTGCACGATCTAGCTGTGGTGTATTTAACCATCCTTAAATGAACAGAAAGTGGGGCAGCTTTTGCATCCTCCAGCTCTCCCAAGACCTACCAAGAGAGAATGTAGGGGGGAATTTAAGGAGAAACATAAAGAGAAAAGAAAATCTTCATTGGAGTGAAATTTGGAATGATCTGGAAGTCTTCATTAGAGTGAAATCAGGAATGGTTATAAATCAAGACTGTGGAATCTCCATTCCTTCTTCCCTGCTTGGGATAACTCAAATTTCTGGTTCCCCAGAATCAGGCAGACTAGCTCAACCTTTTCATTACATGGTACTGGTGGTCTCCAGTCTTAGCCTTCCTAGTTACCTTTTCAGACAACTTCCAGTGAAAACATTCTTCAAATGCCAAAAACAGAGGTCAAGGAAGTCAGTTTTAAACAACTAATGTTTTCTACCAAAATAAGAGTTAAAAAGTCAATTGCCAAAAATGAAGGCAAAGAAAACATGAAATGAAAGTCATTCTATAGCTGGAAAGCAGCAGTGTGCGTGCACTGTGTAGTACTTACAAAAGTTCTGGATGAGCATGCTATCCCACAAGAGCACTATCATTTGGACATTCCAGTTATGGATTTAGTTGAAAACTGTTACTACAGCAAATAAGATTGTATAAAAACTTGTGCGTTATGCAGAATCATTCTATGGGCAAATACATCATCATGGATTTTATCCTACTAGCTAGCCAGGGTGGGTGCGACCTGAGCCAAGCCAACTTTGAGAGAGAAGGGAAGTGGCATTTTCTTTGCTTTAGTCTATAACTGGGGGAGTCTGGTAGGCAAAGCCTTGTTCAAGTCATAGGTCTTGGCATCTCCTCTTAAAATTCCCCAGTCAGATGTCCAGCTGCAGTTCTGGAGGAGAGGAGTTTCCCCACTTGGGACCCTCAACAATTCCCTTCCAGATCTTACCTTCCAGACCTCACCTTCCAGATCTCTGTTTTTGGCATTTGAAGAATGTTTTTACTGGAAGTTGTTTGAATGCTCTGAAGCCTTGACTATTAACTTGCTAAGATCTGGCAGGGAATTGTTGAGGGTCGCAAATGCTGAAGGCAGAGTTTTATATCAAGTACATACCTGTGGTAGTTTCATATCATTAATATCCCAGCTTAGTATCTCTTTGTCCTCAGAATCAAAGTCCTCAGGTTCCATAATAAAGTCAGGTCACCCACAGGTGTCCGTCTATTCAACTCCCCTCAGAAGTGCCTGAGAATTTGGTTCTCAAAGGCCCTTAATACGGTTGGATCAGTCCACTCAAGCAGCTTAGACCAGGAGACTGTTTTCTGACGCTGAAAAACAAATGATAGTAATACTGACTGTTAAAGAGATCAAAATCAGTGCTTGTCTGCCAGAAAAACCTGTTTCGTTGACATTTCTGCAAGCACCAACATACAAACAAAAACAAAACGTAGATGTTGTTAGCAGTCTTGCAGAAATAAAGCTTGACCATCGGGAATCGGAAGCACGGTGATCGTGGCTTTCACCCTCGGGTTTGTGCTTCCTTTCTCATTGCCAGACCCAGGTTGTGAAGGCCTTGGTAGGGACTGTTGTCACCTGTAACCAGTTGTTAGGACCTTTCCCTCCATATACCTGTGTTGGGGCGGGAGGGAGAGCTGGCTTGGAGTTCTTTCCACAGAAATGCCTTCATATATTAGCTAACGTGTGGTTAAAGTTACAAGAGGGAAACATCACAACCAGATGCATCTAGAAGTATTTTTTAAAATCCAAATTGCCGTAGGGATTAATTTTGGTCTCCTTAATAAGTCCAGTGTGCACTTTATATCTTCAAATATTATCAAATGAGGGCCGGCCCTGTGGCTTGGTGGTTAAGTGCACGCGCTGCGATGCTGGCGGCCCGGGTTCGGATCCTGGGTGCGCATCGAGGCACCACTTCTCTGTCCATCCTGAGGCTGAGTCCCACATACAGCAACTAGAAGGGTGTGCAGCTATGACATACAACTATCTACTGGGGCTTTGGGGGCAAAAAATAAAATAAATAAAATCTTTAAAAAAAAAAAAATATTATCAAATGATATCCTCATATCAGATTCCTCTAAAACTTTGGTGTTATTGACATTTTGGACCTGATGATTATTTGTTGTGGGGGTTCTCTTGTGCATTGTAGGATGTTTAACGGCATCCTTGGTCTCTGCCCATGAGATGTTAGTAGCAACCTAATCCTACTTGTTGTGACAACCAAAAATGTCTCCAGACATTGCCAAATGTCCCCTGGGGGGGAAAAATTGTTTGAGAACTACCGCTCTAAAATAGTGTTTCTCAACTTTGTTCAACTCAAAGCACCCTTCAAGACTTTCTGACTTTATCTTAGCAATCTCACTTTCCCTGCCCCCCACAAGAAAATTCTGTACCACTTTACTTTGATTAAATTGTATTACGTAAACGATAGATATTCAAAAATGTTTGTGCAAACTTCACTATTTTCCCCCATGAGAAGTACTGCTCTAGTTTATAGCTATAGTTGGTTAAAGGAGATTTAGAAGGAAAGAAGGAAGGAAGGAAGGAAGGGAGGAAGGAAGGAAGGGAGGGAGGGAGGGAGGGAGGAAGGAAAAAGAGAGAAGGAGTTCTATTCTGAGGAAAAAACGAAGCATTTTGCAGATGAAATGTGCTTGTTAGTAGACGATGAAGTGAAACATTTCTATTTGCTGGTGCTCTTGTAAAAACAAGGGACGTGATGACGTTATGTAGAACTACTTACCTAGTAAACTCAAACTACAAATTAGATGAATAGTCTCAACTTTAGGAAGTCTCATGTGCTCAGTTCCTTGGTTATTTAACTTTACGTAACCCTAATACTTGTCGATCACTGAGATGTATTGAGGGAAAGTGTATGGATATAGAAGACTGTGGACTGAACATATAAATGAAGTTCTTGGCCCTTAAATAACAAGCTAAATGGAGTCTCTTCCCTCCCTATCCCACCTACACACACACTCACCTGCAACCTAGTGGTTGCAGACTCAAAAAGCATGCAGTCCTTGCCCCTCAGTACAAACACTAACATGCAATACTAAATCCCCATGAGTTTTAAATGAAATTCTACGTTTGGGAAATAAACACTGAGTTACTGAGGAAATGATGCCACAGATTGACTTTAATTCAGAAGACTTCAGGGGCCGGCCCCGTGGCTTAGTGGTTAAGGGCGCGTGCCTCGCTACTGGTGGCCCGGGTAGGATCCCAGGCGTGCACCGACGCACCACTTCTCTGGCCATGCTGAGGCCACGTCCCACGTACAGCAACTAGAATGATGTGCAACTATGACATACAACTATCTACTGGGGTTTTGGGGGAAAAAAGGAGGAGGATTGGCAATAGATGTTAGCTCAGAGCCGGTCTTCCTCAGCAAAAAGAGGAGAATTGGCATGGATGTTAGCTCAGGGCTGGTGTTCCTCACAAAAAAAATTCAGAAGACTTGAGTAACAAGTATATTAGACCCAGATATCAAGTGTACATGTGATAGCAACATTTTATGTACTTACCTCTTTGAACATTAACAGTATCTCAGATGATCTAAAATTTGTTATACCCAATTGGAATAGATTGACTTTTTTAAAAAAAAACTTGAGTAACAACATTCACATTTCCTAAAATAAAAAACATTCTTTTAAGCCTAGGTAAAATAGATATAATTCTTTTGCTTTCAAATTAAGGAGATGGGAATCAAAAATCTTGCTGCAGAAAAACGACATTGATTTTAAAATTTTCCTGATACAAATTTTTGCCAAATAAATGAACATTAATTTAATATCTCCCTGAAAGTTAAGAACAAAACATAAAAAAGAAGACTTTTGCAGCCCTTAAAACATAAACAAGTAAACTCAGTTTTCCTCCAGGATTAAAAAAACGAAATTTGGCAAGACTTCTTTTTTTTTAAAGCAACTCAGGCCAAAGTGTATTCAATTTTCATCATTTCTACAGAAAACCAAACAGAACAAATGAAACCCTGTAGGAATGGGGTGGCCATTACCACATCCCTTATATTTACCTCTCCTCAGGATTTCTGGCTTCCTTACCTTCTGACTTCTTATGGAGATGCAGACAATACTGTGTCATAAAAATCTCATCTCTGGTTCAGGTCCCAGCAGGCTCTGGTCATTTTCTACGCAGAGCTGCTGTTCCCTAATCCAGGTCAAGGTACACTATGCTAATGAGCTCTGGCAATAGTCCAATCAAAATCTAGATGCTTTCAGCTCGGGATAGGTAAGGCCCAGGGAGCCACTTAACCAGCCCAATTCTCTGCAGAATGCCAGCAATGTGATGAATATTCTATGGTGCGCCTCTGAACTTTCCCCTCGTTTATGTTACGAGGACATTTTAACTGAAATGGACATTGAAAAGAACTTCACGAGAAAGTACAGATGTTTTCCTTCTCATTACTTCACAGGTTGGGCTCAAGGCAGACTGATTAACAGTAGATTCTAATTCTCCCATCATTTACCCCTGCCTGTGTACAAGACAGGACAGACAGACAGGAGCTGATGGAATTTACTGGGATAATGGATAGCCAACATCTCCTGATCTAGAAACACGGAAATGCTATGCTACCTCTAACAATGATGCCTCACTAATTCTGAGTGCTCAAATTCCCCCAAAATAATACAATTCTCTCTTCTAGAGAGTTCTCAGCAGTCTGGGCACAGCCCAAGTCTGATTAGTTCACCTGCTATGTTCCAAGCAGTCTTCTGGGCTCTGGATATACAAGAGAGAATTAAAGCCATCAAGAAGTTCAGTCTAGTGGAAAAGATGAACAGACACCAAATATGTCTAAGATAACTTGATGCACAGAATAGAGTCTAGAAGGAGTGTAGAGGGGGACAGTATTAAGCTGGAGGGAAGAGAATCAGAGGAAACTTCTTCCACCAACATGATGCCCGATCAGCCTTTTGAAGGACAAATAGATATTTGTCAAGACATCAAGGAACAGAAGATGCTCTTCTGGTAGTGGCAATATCGTGGGCAAAGGTCAAGTGGTATGAAAAGTGTGGTATGCTCAGCGTTACAAGAAGTCGGTACCTGTCGGGGAGGTCCGGACCCTCAGAGACAGGCTGTGGAGGAAGGAATGAGCAGGCCAGAAGGCAAATGACTGGGAAGCCCCATAGGCTGTGTTAGGCAGTCCCTAAGAGACCTTCGGCAATGTCGAGAGGATTTCTCACTGGTCTTTCAGTCCAGGAATGAACTCCCCTTCCACTGGGGGTGACAGCTCTGCATAATTTTCTTGAGCTTTATCTAGCTAATCTTGGTCTGCTCTTTGTAGTTCCTCTTTGGTCAGTAGGTTCTCTCTCCATCCCTCAAACACACTGCAGCAGGACAAAGCCTAGCGTTGTGCCAACTGGCAAAAGAGAAATGTCTACGGGGTCCAGCTCCAGAATCACAAAGCAGAGCAAAGAGCAGATTTAGAGCTGAGAGGCAAGAAATTGATAACTGGCACACCTGTCATGATTAGCCACTTGCTGAGGTCTCTCTAGAGCGTCTTCTCCCATCCATATATCTAAGCCCTATCCATCCTTCAGGAACCCCCAAAATGCCACTCCCTTATGAGACCTTCCCATGCTAGTCTAGAACACATGATTTCTCACTTTGGTGTTGCAGAACTCTTAACTATATTATATGCTGTCTTATATCACTTAGAACTAACATTTTTTTCTAATTACAAAATAAATTCATGGTCTTTAAAAAAAAATCATGTTCTCATCTCCTAGAGACTCCCACTGTTGACACTTTGGTCATGTCCTTTTAGACTTCCGTTTTCCCCTACATACATCACCAAACATAGGTATTCTTTTGCATAATTGTAATACTATTGTATGCACTGTTGCTTTAACTGTTCCTGAGTGTTAGTTCTGGCTCCCTAGCTGAGCTGCTAGTTCCTTCATGGTGAGGTTGGTATCTTCCACTTTCTTGCTCCTCACAGAAGGCCCTGCTGGAATCCCAGCTACAGTATCAGATCCATCCTTGTCCCAAGAACCAACCCTACTCTGACACAGACAGGAACTGAGGTGCTGTTTCCACACCCCGATTGATCTATGACCTTATGTTCCAGACTGGTAATAACAGCACTTCTGTTTTCTCAAGTCCATGGTCCTACCTTCTCACCCAAATTCTCCTAATTGGATCTCTGTCATTGTTATTAATAACAACAACAATCATGGCAGCTTCCCTTAACCGAACACTTGCAATGTGTCAGGTGCCATGCTAAGCACTTGATCTTTACAGCATCCCTGTGAGGTAGATGCTATTTTTATTTTACCCCCTTTACAGAGAAGGAAATCAAGGCTCAGAGAAATAATACCTCACAAGCGTTTAGGCAACAGAGGTAGTAGAACTCAGACAAGTCTGTTGGCCACGGTCCTGCGTGAACTGCCCGATGCTGTTCAGTATCTGGAGTCTGTCTCTGCTCCTGTGTGCTCGGACCTCCACCTTGCTCTGTCCAGTCTCTGTCTCTTCCCTGAAGACAGGAATCCTGCCCTAAAAGCCAGGTGGCTAGGGGCCCTATTGCTTGTTAACTAACCTCAACCACTTAAGTTTGGATTTCTCAGTATCTCTGCTCTTACATTCCCTGTCACTCTGGAGCCTGCCTATTGAGAACATTCTGGTTTCTTTCATCATCGGTAGTGCTTTAGGCATTTTAGGAAGGAAAATTCTTCTTTGTGACTGTGCTATGCACTGTATCCTCAGACAGGAAGCCTGACCTCAGAGCTGCTATGGCCATCTCTGCTGCCACGTGACAGAATCTGAGAGATGAACCCAACAAGGGAGCAAAAACCAGAGGAGAGAGAGAGACACAGGGAGAGGAAGGGGAGAGACCTGGACACAGGCAAGCCTGAGGCCAGTTCCAATCCTTCCCTTTCCAGTTGTGTGACCCACAAATACCGTTCACACTTTTACTCCTTTGAATTGAGCGTCTTCAGTTTGCACCTATTAGAGATCTACTAACACGTCTCCCATCGAAGTAAGCCTGAATTTAGCCCAGGCTTCAAAATAAACCACTTTCCTTCTTTATTTATGCTTCCAAAGGTGGGCACCCAAAGGGACTTGTCTGACCCTCCGTAAAATCAGCAAATGCTTTGTAATGTCTCACCTGAGTTAACGTTCAGGACCCAGACAATAGTCACCATCAGCCCAATTAGACACTCAGCCAGCACATGCAGTTCTCAAAGCAGGTACCCAAGGGACCTCTGAGAGGTCACTTTTCTGTGCTGTGTAAAACTGAACCTGGTATTTTTTCTTTAGGGTTTCTCAAATTTTAAGTCATTTGTGGCTCTCACGTGGAGAGTCTCCAAGTTCTGTATAACATACTTCAGCTCTAAAGACCAACCTGCGTCATCTTAAATTGGATTCTGAGCTGCATCTGTTCTGTGGAAAAAGAGGCTGACGCAGTGTTCTCTTTCTAAATCTCTGGGCAGACAAGACACACACGGTTGGCTGTTGAGAGTCCCTAGTTGGTGGTTCAGGTGGGAAAGTCCCTTGACGTCAGGGTGTTCTTTGGAAAACATTGTGAAATTTTAAAATATTCACTTTATGAGACTTAAGAACTGTTTTACCAATAGAAGCTATGAGTAATATCTGTATATGTGATATCAAAATCACACCCATGAACCCAAGTGTGGACCACCTAAAAAAGGAAAAAACAAACAAGCTCTGAAATGCATTGTGGTAGATTGTTTCCAATCTCCTATAAATATTTTGCTGTCCTTTTGTTTTGTGATAGAAGGCGAGAAATGAGATGTCCTATAGATTGATAACAATGTGGGTAAAGTCAGAATTGAGAAAACTATTCTATTTCTCAAATAATTTTGCAAATTAGGAAATCAACACCAACTTTTTAAAATTTAAGAACCACAAATCAAACAAAGCAGGAATATGATCCTACCATTTCCCTGAAGGAGTGAGGTACCCCAATTTTTTTTCATAAAAAATAAAATTTTTATGGTTATTTTCATAAAAACATGGTTTTATGGTTATTTTTCATTAAAATGTTATTTATGTTAAAATGTAATGAGTTGTTACTGTTGGATGAATCAACAAATATTTCAAAAAATTTTCAGCTCTAATTTCTAATATTGTAAATTTTGATAGGTACAACCACATAAACAAAAGTTGTTTGAGGTTCTTATTAATTTTTAAGAGTGAAAACTGGTCCTGAGACCCAAAAGTTTGAGAACTGCTGCTATAAAGTACTAAATCATAAAGTACTGAACCTTGGTCATCAGGGGAGGGCTGTTTCTTGTGATATTGAGCACTCAGTGCAAACTGCCGCATTTCTGGTTCTCCATGGGCTCATAGCTCAGGACTAGCATCGAAGGGGGGAAGATGATAAAGACAAAGAGAGATGCTTTCAGTATAACTGCACACCATCAAGGCGGACAGGACAAAGTACTGCTCGAGGAGGGAGGCCCTGCCCACAGGAAGGGTTTTCGGCCCCCAGGACTAATTCCAGCAGACCCAGCACCCACCACTTCTGCAGCCCGGGAGCTCCCGCTGAGCGGTGGTGGAGGCGCCCAGTCGAGCCCGCTCGGGGATGCGCGACCCCGCCAACTGAGTCATCCTCTGCAGCAGGCTTTGGAGACAGCTACCATCACCAAAGAGGGCACAGCAGAAGAGGAAGAAAATGGTGGACGTATGCGGTAACTGAAGACTCAGTGAGGAGCACACACGACACACCCCCTGAAGAAGACCCAACCAGAGATAATGCGGGGCAGAGCGGAGATCCTGCAAGTGGATCCAAGGACCAGCAAATACCAGCCTAACACTCCTCGTGTCACTTCAATTTAAACTCTGAAGCCTGGCAAAATCGAAAGTTAGATATTTACAATGGAAGAATACTGAGAAAAGTGCAACAAAAATGGTAACAGTTGCTCTTTGTGTTATGGGATTATTGATAATGTTTGTTTCCTTTTTTATATTTATCTATAATTTTCTACATTTTCCATAAGAAGCATGCATCCTTTTTCAGTCATGTGACACATTTTAAAAAAAAAAAGGTCAATGATATAAAGTAAAAATATCTGCTATTTGTACAGTACTTTACAACAGAAGTTCTCAACCTTTTGGGTCTCAAGATGAGTATGCACTCAAAAAATAATGAGAATCTCAAAGAGCTT